GAGAGAGAGAGAGAGAGAGAGAGAGAGAGAGAGAGAGAGAGAGAGAGAGAGAAGAGGTCTTCCAGAAACTCAAAATCAGGTTAAGAAATCAGAAAACAGCCATGAAAAAGTAGTTAGAGAACAATGTAGCAATGGCTTTAACTGAGCAAATTCAAGTATCTTGTGAGGACAAAAAATTTCAGTGATAATAAAGAAGGCTTTTTGTCCAGTCCTCAGTTGATGTGCATTTAGGCTCTGTCCAGAATGTAGCTATGACAGATTACCCTGCTGTAGACAGGGGTGCACATACATGGCTGTGGTCTGATGTTTTCAGCTCCTCTAGTGGGCTTGAATGGGACCTCCAATCCTAGCTTTCTGAGGAATCTCCACGCCGACATCCACAGCAATCGCAGCAGTCTGTGCCCCCCTCGGCAGTGCAGAAGGGCTCCTTCCTCCCCACAGCCCCTGCAGCATTTGTAATTGGTTGATTTCTTGATGATGGGCATTCTTTCTGGAGTGAGATGGAATCTTACTGTTGTTTTAATTTGCATCTCTCGAATGACCAATGTTGTGGAACTTTTTTTTCATGTATTTGTTTGCTGTTTGTATTTCTTCATCCGAGAAGGGACATCCAACTCTGATGCCCATTTTTGTATTGGGTCTTTGACTTTTGGGTACCTGATTTTAATTATTTATATGATCTGGATAGAAGCCCTTTGTCTCAGGGACAGTTGGCTATACTTGTTTCCAAATTCATTGGTTTTCTTTTTACAGTGTTGGTGATTTCTTTTGATGTGCAAAGGCCTTTCAATGAAATGAGATCCCAGTTGTTCATTCTTTGATGTATTTCCCATGCAGTTTGATTTTTGTTCAGGAACTCTCTGCCTATCCCTATGTCATCAAGATTTCTACCTACTTTCTCTTCCAGATTTAGTGTTTCTGTTCTAATATTTTGATCTTTGATTCACTTTTAGTTTATCACGTGGCGATAGACATAGGTCTAGTTTTAGTCTTCAGCATGTGGAAAGCCAGCTTTTCTAGCACCACTTGTCATAGAGGTTCTTTCCTCCAGTGAACATGTTGGGTCCCTTTGTCAAAGATAAGGTGGCTGAGTGTGTTTGTGGTTGCGCCTACATCTGCTAAATCTGTTCCAGTGATCCTCATGTCTTTTTTTGTCAATACCATGCTGATTTTATCACAATAGCTTTGTAGTATAATTTCAAGTCAGGGACTGTGATGCTCCTTCCTTACCTTTGTTGCCCAGAATTCCTTTTGCTATGCTGGGTGTCTTCTGAGTCTAGATGAATTTTAGGAAAGTTTTCTCTAGATGTTTGAGATAAACTAATGGTATTTTCATCAGGATTGCACTGAATCTGTATAACGGTTTTTGGAGTATGGCCATTTTCACAATGTTGGTTCAACATTGGAGTATCACTCAGCTATGGAAAAGATAATCTTTAACCTTTTATAGATAAATGGATGCAACTAGAGACTATGCTCATAAATAAAATAAGTCAGACCCACATGTGTAAACTTTGTATTGCCTCCCTAGTGTAAAAACCTTTCAGTAAATAAAATCTGAATAGTCGAATAGATATTGTGAAATGGAAAGAAACTGCTAAAAAAAAAAAAAAGAACAACTAGTATGAGGGAAAGGAGGAAATAAAAAGAAAGAAGAAAGAAAGAAATGCACATATACGAGATCTCTAAGATAATTGTACTACTAATTTCTATTGGTTTATTGAAAGCAACAGTTAATGTTTAATTGTTTGATCAATCTTTCATGCCTATATCCAGCAATCTGAACTTCTACCTTGTGCCTGCACAAAGTATAATGATATTTAATACAACCATGGTTAATTTCCTATCATCTTGTTTTGAAATTCTGTACTATTTTTATTGCTTATGTGCTGTTTTCTTTTTGTCTTTGTTTTTGCTGCTTTTTGTCCCTTTCTCTTTAAAAGTCAAAAAAGAAAGTCTTTTCAGAGGGAACAGGTTTTGTTTGTTTGTTTGTTTGTTTGTTTGTATCAAATACCATACGCCACTTGAGCTGATGTAGTTAGATGCCTGTGCCCTGCGTTGCATACTCGCCTGTGTGTGAATGTTGAGGAGAAAGCTCTGGTAGGATGTTGCTACAGTTCTCACAAAGAATCCTGTAGGCCCGGGAGAGTGTCGAGCCAGCACCCCCTCAGCAAGGCAGAGCCTCGGGCTGCACTCCCGGCCTCGCCAGTGGGAATCTGCGTTTCATCCAGATCCTCTGCTGGTGCCTGGCAGTGTGCTCCTGAGAAGCTCCACCCTGAACGCGAGGAAAGCTTGGTCTGGGCACAGCCTTCCTGCAGAGGCCCTGTGCCTAAGCACTGAGCCCGGCTGTACTGCCGCGGAAGGGCTTGGCCCACCGTCACCTCTCAGCCCTCTTTCTGTGATGGTCCAGAGAGGTCCCTAAGGTGACCTGGGAGGCAGCGAGTGCGGAGGAAGTGCGTGAGCTGCTGCCACCAGAGCAGGCTTGCACCCAGGCCAAGCATGTCTTGCCGAGACCGAAAGGCCAGCTTTGCACATTGCTGTCAGCATCAGAGAGACTGTGGGTGGAGCAGCTGGCAAATAGTAAATGTCCTCACAGTGACAGCAGAATTAACCAGCAAGAAGTAACTGTGATGAGGTGGAGCAGGCTCTCTGAATCCCTCAGTGATGTGATTGTCCAACCTGTGTCCCTGTTCTCGAAGGTGACCCTACAACCCTAATGCCCTTCTCTCTGTGTCCTTGAAGTTGAGACTATGAAATATGAAGCCACTTTGATATAATTAAGTTAAAGGTGTTTCTTGATCATTCTAATAATTTATACATGGGGGATATAGATGAGAGGACTCTCCGTACCTGAGATCAGTTGCCTGGACCTCTTCCAGAGTTAGGCTTTGCAATCAGAGTGGTGACCTAAATGCCCCTGTTCGTGGACCTGGAAACAGTTTGGGTCTCATTCAGATGTAAGCTCCTTTTCCTTAGGCTCCTCTCTGCCCTATGCTCCACACAGGCAACTATTTATCTGGAATCCTTTGAATGTTCAAGTAAGTGCCTTTTTCCCTGATTTTACAGGGTAAGAGGCATTTTTTTCTCTCATGCAATGTCTCTTCACAGGGCTTCTGGGAAATGGCCCTGCCACCACTCGGGTTCACAAGGCTCTGATGTCTCAGCCGCCCTCAGTGCTGCAGCCATGGTCCCATAGCCTTCTTTCTCTTCCCTGCCCTCCAGACCTGTTCCAGAGCCTTTGCAGACCCTCATCCCAATCCCAGGCCAGCAGACAGGTTCAGCACTCTCCTTGTAAACAACAGCTGCCTCTGACGCTTCCCGATGTGTCCCAGGCCTGCACCTAAAGTGCACAAGGCCCTCTTAGCAGGGCTCCTGGCAACACAAGACACCAGGGAGCCACTTTAGAAATGTTACCTGTGTAAGGCACCCCCCCATCCTCAAAACCTCAGGTTTCTGCCCAGTGGGCTTCACTCTCCACCGCCCTGGAATTACTCCAGGAGAAAAGCTGCCGCTCGAAGGTTTTGCCCTAGGCACTCTGGCCAGGACATCCCTAACTCTAAGGCCTCACAATGACAACCTCCACTTGAGGGATGACATGAAAACAAAGAGGATTAAAACTCATGGTTAAAAGACTAAATTGCAGTTCTTGTCTCCCAAAGCCAGATCAATAGAGAGCGGGCCACATGGTCCCGGGCAGGGACACTGAACACAGCCCACCATTGGGTGCAGCTCAGCGCCTGCCATGTAAATAACATGCATGGGAGCCCAGCCAAGCTTGAGGTGCAAATGTGGGTTCTCTGGCACTGCGGCGTCAATTGAGTAGTTGTGACGGAGGCCAAACGCCACAAAAACCAAGGAATGTTTTCTGGATCCTAGAGAATGTGTACTGGCCTTAGTGTAGAAGACCTAACGTCTGTCCTCACCCTCTCTATTTTCCAAACACACTTGAGCAAATCTCCCCTCTTCTACATCTGGAGGTCTGAGCACCACCCCAAGGAGCGCCGCTCTGACTGTGTTCTCCCACCTTCCCACCGTTGCCAGCATCATCATGGTGTGCGTCTTGTGCCCCACCACAGCCTGCCTCTCTGGGGCAGGAAGGAGTTCTGTGTGTCCACTGAGATCTGGTGCGAGGCTCTAGCCGGGACCCATAAGCCTGAATGGCATGTAACTGAGCTGACGTGAACTCTGTTTCTTTCTCTGCAGAGAGATCTCTCAGAACGATGCCTTGGAAGTGATAGAGGCAGACGTGTTCTCCAATCTGCCCAACTTACACGAAATGTAAGCACACACGGTGGAGAGTGGTCTCACGTCCATTCTGCCAACAGCCTTGAGGGTCTCGTCTGTTCCTGGGAGGGCCTGGCTCTGCTCTGTCCTCTGATCCAAGTCTGCCACTGTGTGATATTAAAGTCAAGCTGAAGGATGCCCGTGTGTTTCTGCCCAGGAATCCAGGCACCAGCCCAGAGCCGAGACCCCTGCCCGCTGCCTCCCGCCCAAGCTGCACTCTTGACCCGAGAACCTTGTCCTGTGACTGGGAGAAAGTAACTCTGTCTCTTCATCTCACTCAGAGCCACTTCACAGCAGCATCTAAAATAATCCCACATGATGCCAGGGATACGGGTGGCGGTCTGAGTCTGAACCCCAGCCTGGACCACATACTCACCATGAAACCTGAGACGCAGAGCCATTGAGCCTTGGCTTTCTGACCTGCAAAACTAGAATAAAATATACACTGGATAGAGTTACTCTAGTAGGCAGAGTGAGTGACAAGAGTAGATTCAATTTAGCCTATCACCTGGTGTCAAGGATTAAGATCTTTAATTCCTCCGCGACTCAACCAAATCTTCCTTTTGTCGTGGCATTCATCTTACAAACACATCGGCGCTTACACAGGTCTCCTTGGGCTTCATACCAGTCTGTTGATGTCATAAATTGATTCATAAAGTCACAAAATGCTAAGGTGGCGAGAACCTTTAGAGACTGGTCAGCAATTTTCCGAAGTATTTTCTGTGCATCATTAAGAACCTATGAAAATACAAGTGTCCTAAAACAGGAAAGGATTGTATTAAAAAAAATAAGATTAGAAAACACTGGTCATATTAAGCTAAAGTTCAATTAGTAGAGGAAAACTTGGAAAAATTTTAATGTTCATACACATTTGGAAAATCCAAATAATGCCTTGATTCTCAGCTAATGTAGGAAAGGTTTTTCCGTAGCATTTGTTACCGTCTCACAAAATCCCCACGGAGCACATTCGGTGAAACACTTCTAATTTTACAGATGAGGCACAGAGCAAAGAACAGCGAAGTTGTGAAGCCTGACTGAAGCTACACAGCCAAACCTTCTACCAGCAGAATAAGGACTTAATGATAAATCTCTTGGCTTTTTAAAAACTTCTTTAGAAAGAAATTAAGACTAAAATATGTTTTAGCATTTTCCAAGTATCAGTAGGGTACAGATTAAAACTGTATAAGTGTATGTGTACACACACGCGTGTGCCAAGGAACTTGTGCAAGGTCCACGCTCGGCGCCCCTTCTGCAGACCCTTTCTTCCTCTCCCGCCCATCCTCCCTCCCACCCATTGTCGGGCCCTCCTTCTCCTTCACTCTCATGATCCTCCCGATTTTGTCTTTCTTTACTCTGCCTGGCCTCTTCCTGCCCTAGTTGGGCAGATAGACTGGCTGGAGTCTCAGAACCCAGACTGTAGATGGTAGAAATGCACCCAGGGCAGCTGCATGGTCTGCACACTCCCAGCATGGTCAGGCAGGCCTCCTTCATCTAGTCCAATGGGCAGGGGCACTCCAGTGGCTGTTTCTCCCCTTCCTTGCATGGAGAAGTGCTGGAGCTCATGTGATACTGGCTATGTTTAAAACAATTGACTGATAAGGGTATCTTTGGGTCATAGCAATGTAAAAGCTAATGAAACTAGCAGGAAGTAATTAACAAAAAGCATCTCTGCAAATATGTATTGATCCAACAAGATGAGAAAAAGACAGACTCTAAATGTGAACATGGTTACCTCAGACCATTGATCAGGACACAGTGCACCGCAGGCCACCACAGGACAGAGGTCACCACTTCCCTGAGCTAAGAGTGAGCAGCCTCAGCTTACAGCAGGAAGGGGATCCCTGGCCTCTTCCTAGCTGCTCTGTGTTGGAATTACATGGCTAAAAATGAAGAGATACTGATTTTTTTATCCTAATCTTCAATTTTCTTTGCCATTTCTCCTCTTTCTTCATTTCCCTTTGCTGTCCCATCTTCTTTCCTACTCTGTCTCATCCTCTTTTCAATGTCTCTGGCTGATTTTCACCTCCTCTCTTGACTCCAGAGCAGACAAAAGTCCAGTTCCCAGTATTAGTAGCATCCCCTACCCTTCAACCCTGAGAAAGCTGCCATGGCTAACGATAACTCTGCCTCAGAGGATGTTAGACATCTCCCAAGTGAGGAGCATCTTCTGGCACAGGATTAATGTTTAGTATGCAGTTAGTGTCAGAAAAAAATTGCTGTGTATCTGCTCAATATTTGTCCAAAGGATGCATGGATGGATGGATGGATGGATGGGTGCAATAGTAGGTAGGTGGGTAGATGGGATGGGTTGGGTGGATGGGATGGGATGGGATGGGATGGGATGGGATGCAATGGGATGGGATAGGTTGGTGGATGGGGTGGGATGGGATGGGATGGTAGGATGGGTGAATGGATGGATGGGTAGATGGATGGATAGGTGGACAGATGGATGGATGGATGGACTGACAGACAGACAGATGGAAGGACAGATGGTCAGATGGATGGATGGATGGATGGATGGATGGATGGATGGATGGAGAGATGGGTGAATGGATGGATGGATGGATGGATGGATGGATGAATAGCCAAATAAATGAATTAAAGAGGTAATCTGCATAACCTGAACAATACTACAGCATTCCTTGCTGTTCAGTTAGCTCATATGTACTTTCCTCTTTTATAGTAGAATTGAAAAAGCTAACAACCTGCTGTCCATCAACCCTGAGGCCTTCCAGAACCTTCCCAACCTTCGATACCTGTAAGAAGTCATATATTCTGGCATTTCCTTTATTATCAAATTATGCTTCTTTATTTTAATAAAATATTTCATGGCTATTCTGGGGAAAAATAGCTTTTCTCAAGGAGCAAGGGAGTAGATGTGGAGATTGGGTGGCACTTGGTGGTAGATTTGTGTTTAATAAGCAAATTCCACTAACATAATTGCATTTTGTTTTCACTTGCTATAACAGGAACAAGGCATGCCATTTGCATTAATGTGACTGTCACACAGACCTCTTCCAAAGCTCAGTCATAATTTGGTGCTAATAAGGTACATGAAAAATTTCTTCAGTGGCTTCGATCATGACCTTGACCTCAGCAGTATTGTCTTTTGTGTTTTGCATTTATATATTTTTTTCCTGAAAGATTACAGCTTTATTTTTTAGCACATGCACTGCCAAAGTGAGCCCCAAAGCTTTGCTTTTTTAGTTTTTGTTAATAACATATTATCTGATCCACAGAGGGAGACCTGGAGTTTGAGCCCCATCCCTCAGGCTTGCCCCCAGCAGCGAAGCAAGGCTCCCTGCACGAAAATGGTTCACACAGCAGCGGAGGTTCACACAGTTGTCTCACAAACAACAGATGAGAATGTGTGTGCTGGGGTGGGACTTCTGGGTCCCTGACTAGCTCCTGGTCACAGGCAAGGACTTGGGTCTGTATTTTTTGTTTTCTATTACCATAATAATCCCACATCACCAGCCACTTCCCAAGACAGGCGGGAAGCGGCAGGCATCTGTCACCTGTCTGTGCGGGTCTGCTGGTGTCACTGTGTCTGTCTGACCCCCGCGAAGCATCTGTAGTTAGCTGGCGGGTCGGCTGAGGGCTTTCTGATCCAAATGGCCTCAGCTGGAGTTGCTCAGCTGTCCTCCGAGTGACGAGTGACACTACTTCTGTGGAGCTAGCATCACCTGGTTGTTATGGCAGTCTTGAGGTTCCAAGGAGGACAGCTGAAGACACCAAGCCTGGCCTTTCTTCTGATGCACTGTATTAGACATAGAGTTTACAGAACCAGCCTAGATACAAGAGGTAGAGGAATGGCGCCACTTTTTAAAGAATAAGAAGCCCAGTGTTTTCATTTTGCAAAGCAGCCAACAAATTATCTAGTCTGTCCTGCCCAGAGGTTGGGGTCATGGTCTTGCCTAGGTTCAGACTGAAGAAGGCTTCACTCCCTCCATAGACTTTGTCCCTTAGGGACAGAGACTTCACTGAGCTCTCTGCAGGGTCTCTACTGGCTGAGCACGTGACAGGGAGCAAACAGGTGGGAAGGGGAGAAGTAAGCCCTTCAGCGAGGAGATCCAGGGCTTTACCGTGAGCCTGCCTCAACTTGCAGGTGGAGCAGTCATTACCAGTCACCAGATTTCTCAGTGGCACATGGCTTGCAGAAGATACACGTGTACTTTAACAGATGAAAGTATTCTCTAGGCTATACAGGGCTAAAAACTAATTGATGTCTTTGAAGGATAATTGTTTCTAGCCAGTTAAAGAAAAGCTACCAGGAAAATCCTAGGAAATGTTGAGCAGAAAATGCAGATGGACACCAAGGCCTTCAGCTCTCCCTAGAAAGTCTGACTTCAGTTCTAGAAAAACAGAGGAAAATATACCTTCGCAGATGGGCGGCAGGAGAGCTTTGTGGAACAAAGGAGACAAAGCTATGCCTCAGGACCTGGGAGAGCTGAGTCCGTGTTGCTGTCACCCAGTGTGGGAGGTTGAGACAGTCCTCAATCCCTCCTGGCCCCTGTGGCAGTTCCCCCAAAGCTGGAGGTGGCTGGAATCAGAGAGAGAAGATTTTCTGAGAGAAGATTAATTCTCAGCACTGTGAGCCCGCTGTCTAAGGGAGGAAAGGATACAACCTAATAAGAATCTGGGAGGGGCTATGCCATTGTCAAAGGATCTTCTTTTTTCACTCTGAAAAAGTAAATTGCTGTTGTCTTAGTTCCAGCTGCTATCAGAGTACTCTGCAGCCTGGGTAGATTTGACAGCAAGCCTGTCTCTCCCTGTTCTGGAAAGTGGGAGCCTGACGTTAGCACGGTCAGCGCTGGGGGAGGGCCCTCCTTGAGACACAGGAAGCCATCCTCACCCTCCACGTGCATCTTCACCTGCCTTGTCTTGGTACTTGTACTTAAAGAAAAACCCTCCCTCTCCTCATCTTGTACAGGCATCATAACCTCACCACGCAGGTCCGAGGCTCAAGACCTCACTTAACACCAACTGCCCTCTAAACAACCAACCTACAGAGGTAGTCGTGTTGGGGGTTAGGCTTCAACATATACACCCAAGGAGACACAAGCACTCAGTCAAGAGCAGTCACATAACCCATACTAGCCAATGTTCTGGCACATCTTCTGCTGTCTCGACCCCACCACAAAGCTGAGCCCAGGTGTTGTCAGGCTTGAGCCTTCAACTCCTCACACAGATGTAGGTGTTGACTCCCCTTGTGTTGCTCGTTCAGTGCAACCTGAAACCAGTGCCTTGCCCAGTGTGCACTCCTCTCATCACAGGGCACACGGCGTCCTTGCGATTGGAACACACCTGCCCTCTGGGCGCGTGCCCACCGCCTACCCATCGGGGCTCAGCGCTGGTGGCCCTTCGGACCATTTTCCAATCCACACAGAGGGGTGGCATAAGTTCAGAATTGGTTCTCTAATTTGAGACATTATATCAGAGAAACACTGCTCAGTTACGTTTCCACCTTGTGTTAGTCAGCTCTCACGAAATGCCGTAGACTGGGTGGCTTAACAGAAGCAAGATTATCTCAGATAACTCTGAAAGCTGGGAATGCCAACACTGAGATGCCAGCCAGCTGTGTTCCTGGTGACAGCTCTGTTCCCAGCTCATGGATGTCCCCTTCTTCCCTCCCCGGGGATGGCAGACAATGAGAGCAAGCAGGCTCTCAGATGCACAGGAGTGGGTACACACAGCAGTCCTCAGGTCCCCTCTCACAAAGACACTGATTCTATCAAATTAGGGTCCCATCTCTATTATTTCACTTAAAGTTATTGTCTCCCAAAGGTCGTATCTCCAAGTTATGGTCACCATGCAGACTAGGGCTTCGATATATGAATCTGGGTTGAAGGAAACTCAGTTCAGCCATAGCCCACCTCCTCTCATGCTATTTGTGCCTAACCCAGTCCTAACACCCATAATGCAGCCACAAGGAATGGGCGGATGCTGACAATTTCAGATATTCCTTGGGAAAACCAACTTCTTCTGCAAGGCAAAGAAAACACATAAAATGCATGAAGGAACCCAGTGGGGACTGGGAGGGCTGTGTTGTCGAGGTTGTTTTGTTTCTTAAGTCAGGGTAAATGTTTGGCAGCAGAGCCAGCAAGGCAGGAGATTGCAGGGGTACGCACAAGCTGCTGCTGGAATGGAGCACCCTAATTGCTGCACCCACAGACTTAGAAATGTTGTGTTGATTCCACTTCACACCGCTCATTTGGCGGCGCAGAATTCAGGACAACAAGAAATCAGTGCTCTTCACCCATTCATTCCTGCTTCTCTGAGAAGCCTGAATTGGGTAAGGAAAATACGAGTAAAGAAATGTTCTTTAGCTAAAAGAGCATGCATCAAAGTACTCATCGAGGTGGATTTTTTTAAAGTCATTATTGTATTTGCAGGCAATATTTCTCTCTGTACTGCTCCACCTTCCTGAAGCTGACCTTTTGGATATGAAAGATTACCCATTGATCTGTAAATGAGGCTTGCGCAGTATTCTCTTGCCTCTGCATCCTGTCAGTGTAATTCTCAGGCAGCCAGGCATTGCCCTTCGCTACTCAATAAACCGTAATTCCATCTTAGCAAACACAGCCTGCAGCTGTGTGGGCCCCACCCCCAACCTCCCACTGGAAAGTGTCTTCCACGCACTCGTGGGCCGTTAGAGCCCCCACCCTCCTGATCATGGCTGCCCCGCCATCTGCAGTCTCCAGCTGCACACACTTTCAGGAGATTCCTTCCCGGACTCCCCTCAGCAATCTAGGCTTCTTTTCCCCAGCCCCCTGCTGGTTTCAAGCTCTCGGTCCTGAGTTCCTCTCTTGTATTTGGCTTGGTGAGGTGCAGTGAAAGTAGCTTTTGTATTGTAAACCCTGAATTACTTTTGAGGAAGCATGTCGAGGATGAGGATTTGAAGGGCAGGAGCTCCCGTGGCCACTAAGTATCAAAGAAGCCAACAGGCCCCATGTCTTTTCTCTGGGCTCAGGGCTAAGCTCCTTCTCTGGTCAGCTGCAGGACCTTGAGTACTTAGCTCAGTGTCTCTACCCCTCAGTTTCCTTTCTATAAAACAAGAAAGTCAACACCACCTGCATCACGAGATTGTATTAAATGAGTTAAACCAATTGCACCAGAATGATTGACATCTAGAAAAGTCTCAATAAACTTAGCAAGTCTTATTAAACTCCTGACCTTATCACTCGCTAGCCAAGGGTCCCCATAGAAAGGATTTAATCTCACTGTACTTAAATCCTTGCTGCTACAAAAAAAAAAGAATTAAAAGATAATGAAGATCTCTACCTTTTAAGACTATACTCAGGATTATGTGAGATACTGATTGTAAAGCTTCTTGTACAGCTATAATACTAAGACACAATAAATGCTTCTGTTCTGATGATGTTGAACATAGAAGGGGAGTTGATGTCTCTTTCTGCTTCCAATATTTCTAAGCTTTTGGAAGCCCCCTTAACAACTTTTGGACAGAATCCACCAATCAGCATTCAAACATGGAAACATATCCCTTGTATTTCTCAAAGGACAAAGCCATCCTTCTTACAGAACCTTGACATGTACACAAAGATCTTTATGCCGGCAAAGCTCTCCCATCCCTCAGAGTTCTAATAGCAGGCTTTCACTTTGCCTTTTGACGTTTCTTTTCAATACTAGTGGTTCATAGCGCCCTCGCCTTCCCCATTCAAATTAATTCCAGGCCTTCCCTCAGACAGCTGGTTGGATAATGCTTCCCATTTTTATGTTGATTTATAATTTAATACT